AGGGGGAGGAAGAAGAAGAAGAAGGGGGGGTAGGAAGAAGAAGGGGGAGCAATAAGAAGAAGGGGGGTAAGAAGAACAGGTGGGGGAGTAAGACGACCAAGGGGTGAAGTAAGAAGAACACAGGGGGTGTGAGGAGAACACATAGAGGGAGGAGTGAGAAGAACACAGGGAGGGTGGAGGGGGGGATGAGAAGAGCACAGGGAGGGTGGGTGTGTGTGAGAAGAGACCGCTAGGGGAGGGTGGGGGAGAGGAGAGACCACTAAGGTGCAGGGAGAGCTCTAATGGACAGAAGTGGGGCAGCTCCCCCATAGGACAGGGGCCAAGACAGGGAGCCTTTTCACACCACGTACAAGACACACACACACACACACACACAATGCATCCCTATACATACACACAGAAACACAACATGCTTCCCTTACACACAGAGAAACACCACACAAGAATGATCCACAAGCACACACACACACAATGCAACCCCCACACACAAAAGACACGATCCTTTGCAACACATGGCATAAATGCAAACCCGTACACACACATGCAAACACACACACTTTTCTTACATACACACAGAAACACAATGCATCTCATGCACACACATACAGACACACACCTTGCATCCCTTATGCATACAAACACAGATCCACACAATGCATCCCTTACACACAACCAGAAACACATAATACATCCCTTATACACAAATACACACTGCTTCCACTACACACAAACACACCACATCACCTGCACAAACTGGTAACCCTATACACTACATACCATAAGCACACATATTAGATCCTCTACAATAACACATAACACATCCCCTACACACTCCACTCCCTGTGAGCGAACTCATGGGTGGAACATGTAGGTGGACTTTTAGGTGGGCCTTATGGGCATACTCACCGCCAGGCCCTGGGACCCAGACCTTTGAGCTGCTTTGTTGGCCCCAAAATGGAACTGCTTCCTACCCTACTAACTTTGAAATCTTTGTGACCACAGCCACAAACAGCCTTAGCAGACCCAGACCAGTGGAGCCAAACCCCCAGCCCATCATCATCCCCATCTGGTTGTGGGTAGGCAATCTAGTATTAGTGACACTCCAATTTATAATTTACTCCCACATTAAAGGACACACTATAGCTTAATGAAGTGGTTCTGGTGTTTATAGCCTGTCCCTGCAGGCTTTTTAATGTAAACACACACTGTGTGCAGCTTTGGCATTAGTTCATATGGCAGATTATATAGGTGGGGCATTGTGATGTCACATGGGGGGGCAGCTAATTTTTCCTTTGCCTAGGGCAGCAAAAATCCTTGCACCGGCTCTGATCCTGGGCAGGTGCACCAGTATACTTGTGACCCACAGGAGGGGATTGCACTGCACTCTCCTCCTGCCCAGACCTGTGTTTACCGCAGTGCAAGTGCCCTCTGCCCCTAATTTACAGTGCCTGGAGCCCTTTGCAGCGATGGGAACTAAGAGGTTCTGCGGCAGGTGGCCGTCCTGCAAGCATTACATTAAACAGCTGTTCCCCATGCAGCCACAGGTGGCGCTGTGCTGGGAGAATGTGATTACTCTTCACTTCCTCCCAGCCTACAGCACAGCGCATGGGAGAGGGAGAGGAGGAGGCATCATTTAATCTTACAACAAATCCATTAAGCAAATCTTTGGGGGGATCAGCGCTGTTTGCACAGTTTATTGGTGTTTACTCTGATGTCTGTATTAATATTGAGGGTTTTCTAAGTAGTAACATCAGTATGTGTCAGCAGGGCCAGCCGTTGGGGTGTGCAAGCTGTACATTCATGCAGGGTGCCATCACAACAGAGGCGCCCGGCGGACAACACAGCTCACAAGTTGGGGACCCCAGCATATTCAATTTAAACGATTCGCTGGTGGTCCACTGGTGCGCACCAGCAGTAGGTGCAGTCAGATTATATCCTCTCCCTCATGGTTCTGGCGCTCAGTTAGTGAGTCAGAGCACAGGCTCAGAGATTCTCAGCCTGCGCTCTGACAAGATTGAAAGTCAGAGCCGTGAAGGAGCGGGTATGGCAAAGAGCTACTGATTAGCATAACATCAATATCCGTTATAAAACCAGGTGGGCATGGATGGTGAACTGATTTGGTGGTGCAATGGGCCACTTGACTGGTTTTGCCCCCCAGGCCTAAGGCTGCCAGCCCTCCCCTGGTAGTGAGGCTGAGGGTGTGGGGGTAGTGAGGCTGAGGGTGGTGAGGCTGTGGGTGGTAGTGAGACTGAGGGTGGTGTAGGTGGTAGTGAGACTGAGGGTGGTTGGGGGTGGTGATGCTGAGGGTGGTTGGGGTTATGCTGGAGGGTGGTGGAGGGGGGATGCTGAGGATGGTGGGGGGGTGGTGACGCTTGGAGGGTGGTGGGGGGCTGGTGATGAGGGTGGGGGGATTGCTGATGGTGGGGGGTGGGGGTGGTGACGCTTGAGGGTGGTGGGGGGGTGACGCTGAGGATGGTGGGGGTGAGGGTGGGGGGTGGTGATGCTGAGGGTGTATGTGCAGGCCTTAATTTTGTATGTCAGTACCATGTATGTGCTCAATTGCCTGCACACTTTAGGGAAATAGGTGCTATGCGCTTTATAACATTCCCCACAAGCAACGTTTTGTCATAATAAATCTCCCCTCTGGTCTCTGTATATGGAAAATAAGCTGAAATAAAGGCAATGCCTTTACAGTCTGGGGGCATTTTAGGAGACTGTATGTCCAATAGTTATATCAAAATAATAATAAAAAAATATATTTTAAATAAAAATAAATGAACATATAAAACTGTAAATGCATACAATATTTTTTTATTTTTTTTAAGCTATCCTTAAACAGTAATCTTGTGCCAAGTATGGATCTCTTATCTCAAATAAATGTTATTCTATAAAAACACAGTGCTCCCAGCCTGGACCCAGTGCAGCCCATGAATGATGCTCTGTGATGCTCCATAGAGGAGAGTGGGACCAGGTAACACAGAGCAGGGAGAGAGCATCTCAGGGACACAGCCAACTATGGATAGAACGCTCATACTGCAGCCAATCAGAGAGCAGGAGAGGTTTATCCCAGCCAATCGCAGGAGGGATGAGGACCCCCCTCGCCCAGTGAGGAGTCACGTGCTCCGGGGAGGACGGGGTTAATCCACGTGGTCCCGCCCCCTCCAAGCTGGTTAACCCTTTGCCCGCCGGGAGCCAGCGGCTGGAGACTAGAGCGGTTGCCATGAGAACGACGGGCGCCCGGATGTGAGCGAGATGCCGGCCGGAGCTGGCGGTGAGATGGGGGGCGGCTAGGGGAGCCTGCTGCGTGACACCGGGACCGGCTGCCGGCATGGAGGGGCAGGAGGAGCGGGGAGGAGGTGAGAGACCGATAGGATGTCCGGTAACGGCCAGCCCGAGCCTCGGGGGCACCCGGCACTGACACCCGGTATCAGACACCCGGGACACCCTGACACCCGGCACTGACACCCGGGACACCCTGACACCCGGCACTGACACCCGGGACACCCTGACACCCAGCACTGACACCCCCTGACAGCACTGACACCCTGACACCCAGCACTGACACCCTGACACCCAGCACTGACACCCTGACACCCAGCACTGACACCCGGGACACCCTGACACCTTGACACCCGGGACACCCCGGCATCAGACACCTGGCACTGACACACCCGGGACACCCTTCTGACACCCCAAAGCACTGACACCTGGCACTGAAGCCACCCGGGACACTCTGACACCCAGCACTGACACCCGGCACTGACACCTGGGACACTTGACACCCGGTATCAGATCGGGACACCTGGTATCAGGACACCCAAGACACCCTGACAATCTGGCACTGACACTCCGGGACACCCGGTATCAGGACACACTCCGGCACTGACACCTGGACACCCCACACCCAGGCACTGACACCCGGCACTGACAGGGACACCTCCTGACACCAGAAGCACTTGATAATTGCACCCACCTGGGATAACTCTGACCCGGTATCAGACACCTGGGACACCCATCGACACTGGCACTGACACCTGGGACACCCTGACACCCAGCACTGACACCCGGCACTGACACCTGGGACATTCCTGACACCCGGTATCAGACACCTGGGACACACCCTGACACCCGGCACCACCTGGACACCCTGGACACCTGACACTCTGACACCCGGCACTGACACCCGGACACCTTGACACCTGGGACACCTTGACACACCCGGGACACCCTGACACCCGGGACACCCGGCACTGACACCCGGGACACCCGGCACGGACACCCGGGACACCCTGACACCCGGCACTGACACCCGGTATCAGACACCCGGGACACCCTGACACCCGGCACTGACACCCAGAACCGCACACACACTGACCGGGTCACTGACATATCCAGGGACAGCACATAGCCCTCACTGCCCGGACCAGGACACACCAAACAGCCACAACCCCAACACCATGGCACCCCGATACTGATACACCCTGAGACCGTGGCACCCCGATACTGATACACCCTGAGACCGTGGCACCCCGACACTGATACACCCTGAGACCGTGGCACCCCGACACTGATACACCCTGAGACCATGGCACCCCGACACTGATACACCCTGAGACCATGGCACCCCGACACTGATACACCCTGAGACAGTGGCACCCCGACACTGATACACCCTGAGACCATGGCACCCCGACACTGATACACCCTGAGACCGTGGCACCCCGACACTGATACACCCTGAGACCGTGGCACCCGACACTGATACACCCGAGACCGTGGCACCCCGACACTACACCCTGAGACCGTGGCACCCCGACACTGATACACCCTGAGACCATGGCACCCCGACACTGATACACCCTGAGACCGTGGCACCCCGACACTGATACACCCTGAGACCATGGCACCCCGACACTGATACACCCTGAGACCATGGCACCCCGACACTGATACACCCTGAGACAGTGGCACCCCGACACTGATACACCCTGAGACCATGGCACCCCGACACTGATACACCCTGAGACCGTGGCACCCCGACACTGATACACCCTGAGACCGTGGCACCCCGACACTGATACACCACGAGACCATGGCACCCCAACACTGATACACCCTGAGACCATGGCACCCCGATACTGATACACCCTGAGACCATGGCACCCCAACACTGATACACCCTGAGACCGTGGCACCCCGACACTGATACACCCTGAGACCGTGGCACCGTGAGAGAAACACTGCCACAATGACATCCAGAGACCCCTACATCCATAGAGAGAGCCAGACATCCAGAGACAGACCTCATTCATCCCTATAGACAGCTTCTGCATCCTGTGACCCCGACTCACGTGAATCCAGCCCCTCAACATCTGAGCATCACAACCTGAGACCTCCATCATATTGTCAGCCAGTGACCCCGAAATCCTAATAGCGACAAACCCCAAAGAGCAAAGCACCCCCAAACTACTGATAGCAGGACACTCCCATAGACAGGGACCCCCAATACAATCACTCTAGGACACCCCCACAGCCAAGGGCTCTAAATATACCGACAGCAACACACCCCCTTAGACAGAGACCCACATCACAGTGATAGCAGGGCACCTCCAGAGCCACTGACCTCAAACCTACTGATCACTCCATCCCTGCCCCACAGACTGGGGCCACAAGAACACTGAAAAACCCTGGCAATGTGGGCCCCCAAAACACCATGCCAGTGTGGGACCCTCAGCGCACTGCAAGTCTATGCTATATCTTTCAACCTGGGACAGCAACAGCTAGGGACCCATTACACAATTACAGCCACAGACTCCCATCACACCAAGAGCCCAATACACTGACTTCAAATACCAGGACATGTACAGTCCCCACCTGTATCTTAACCCCTCACTGCTTCTGCCATGGATCCATTGTGTATACTAGTACCAGGGGCAATTGTCTCTGTTATCTCAGGGACCACCCATTCTTCACATAACACTATAGGACCCAAAAATGTTACTGCCATCCCCCCCTTTGGACTACAGTCTATAGGTAGTATTTAGTCTACTCTATATAGATATGTAGAGAAAGAGGAAAGTATTAACTGTCCCTTTCCACAAATTTCATTTTCTGGGGTACTCTATTCAGATTATTTCCTGTTTATGTGTAGATCATTTCTTATAGGAGATAAATCAGTTAAATTACATTATGATGACATATTAGGCCACACTTTAACCCTTCCATAAAATGTCTGTCCTACATATTATGCCATTAAGCTATCATTTTATGCTGTTACATCATCTGCCATTTCTCCCTTATCCTGGGCATCCCAGATATTTGGGAAGTGCATTTCATGCCAATGTTCTGTTGCTTCTAGATTGGCTGAGCATCATAGGATATGTAGTAGATGAACATCCAGGGTGCAAAAGCTAGCCATCACCATAGATGCTTCCATTTCAGCCAGACCTGCTTGTTTACAAACCCACTGTGGCTATGAGATCTTTAATATATTAATGTATAATGGATTGTGTGAT